TGAGCCCTTGGGATCAGGATAACCTGGAAAGTCCTTAAAACAGAATGGAATAAAGCAGGAGAAGTTGGTGGGGGCAGAGCAGGTTGGAGAGTTGGTCATTATGGTCCTTTTAGCTAGTTTGTTTGGTTAGGGGTTTTTTAAGTTGTATTTTTTAAAGCATTTGCAGAGAAAACATTTATTCCAGGGACTTGAACCTGATGGGTGTGGGGTAAGTGGATGAGGGCAAAACCTGGCTGAGAATATCACCTTGGATCAAGGTTTTCCCACGAACCAGGTGCCAGCAGCTGCGTTTCACAGAGCTGAGACCGTGAGGGACCCCCGTCGGTGCCATCGGACACGCGTCCTGCCCTGAGAGAAAACGCTTCTTCTAGGAATCAGGGAGAGGGAATCTCGAGGCAGGGAAATAAACGGCGGGGAAGCAGCGCCCGGGCCGGAGGAGGACGCGGGGCTCGGCCCCATCCCGGCCCGCAGGATCCCGCAGGATCATCGTCCCCCCTCCCCCGGCGCTGCGGTGATGTCATGGCACAGGGAAGGAGCCGCTGGCTCCCGGACTATTGAGCAAGTGGCCCTGGCTCGTTTCCTTCCCCCCGCCGGTGCCCCAGAGCTGGGGGGGGACGGACGACGACAAAATCGGTGTGATTCCCCCCCTCCAGCGGCCCCCTCGGCCGCTTCAACCCCCGATTTTACACCACCCTACCAGCGCTGGTAGCGCTGGGGACGTCCCTGTCCTCTCCCCCCATCGCCCTAAACTCTCTGTTCGCTGGTAAAGGCTGGTTTTCCCCCGTGGAGCGGCAGGGGTTTGGCCAGGCTGGGGTTAAACCTGGTGGGACATTTCCAGCCCCTCGGCGCTACCGCTTTACCCCCGATCTGGTCCCACCGCACCTGCGCTGGGACAGCCCTGTCCCCACTCCCCTCCCCTCCCCTGAGCCCTCCGGTTTAGTGTAAAAGCCCCATTGCCCCCATTGCTGCGGGCAGCTGCCCAGGCCCATCCCGGCTCCCTGCCTTAATCCCATCTCCTGCCTCGCCAGGTACAGCTTTCACCACCTCCAATTCCGATCCCGACTTCTGCCAGCACCTCGGCCCCAGCCAGAGCAGCCTCCTTCCCTCCCCTGCTTCACCCCTTCATGGACCTGTTTGCCCCCCAGAAAAGCGTCAGGCGCTCGGAGCTTTTCCTGCTTTTCCCTCCTCCTCCCCCTCTCAGGTGCAGCAGGAGGGAGGTTGAGCCATCGCCTTTCCCTGCTCCCTCGTCAGCCATTTCAGAGGCCAAGTGCTGACTACCAAAACTTTTCCTTGGGCTGCTCCAAAACTTTAAGGATTTTCCTCTCACTTGTAGCTTGAAGTCGATTTTTAAGGCAGTTTTCTTGCCCAGATTTCAGTTAATGACCTGGATTCCTACAGAGCTGCGGGGAAACAAGAGTCAAGTTTAAGTGAGCCTTAGGCAAACAGACAGACTTGAGGCTACTCCTACCTCAGTGAGGTGCCCCTCTCTGTCCATCATACACCATTTTACCCCTTTTCCAGGTACTTTTAACTATTTCAGCTCATTAGGCAAAATTAAAATTGAAAACAAATGGGGGAAAATAATAACAAAAAGGGTTAAACGGGGAATTACAACTAAGTTTAATCAAACAACAGTTAAAACACGATGAAAATAATCCAGGATGTATTCCCTGGTGGAATGCCATTCTGATTATTTTCGAGAAATCACACCAAAACTATTACAGTTACAAGTAATTAAATTTATTAGACCTCTATATTTTTATAGTCAGTTTTGGCCAATTTACAGCTTTCCTGGGGATTTTTTTTCTTTTTTTTTTTTTTGGTTTAGACACAAAAAAAATAAAACCATAAGCCAGATATCACCAATACATCAACCCCCCCCCTCGCCCCGTCACAGCCACCTAAAAAAGGGGGAGCCCTCGGCCCCTCCAGCTGCAGTTTAACCCATAAAAAGGGTCCGCGGCGACTCTGTACAAGGACCGAATGTTCCACCCAACACTGTAAAAACCCCCCCCCGCGCCCCCCTGTCCAGTGTCACTCCCCCGGCTTGCAGGGGCCCTTTTCCTGCCGGGGCAGCTCCTGCTCCCGCAGCAGCCGCAGGTTCTCAGCGCGCAGCCTGTCCACCTCCCGCTCCAGCGCCTGCACCCGCGCCGAGTCCGCCGCCTCCCCCCCGGCTTTTTTGCTCTCCATCCTCAGCCGGTTGTTCTCCTCCTCCATGCGCGACAGGCACTTCTCCAGCTCCAGGTACTCCTTCACCAGCTCCTGCTTGCTCATGTTCTGCAGGCTCTCCACATGGTACCGCTCGTACGTCTCCGAGAAGTCCCTCTGCAGAAACTCGCTGCCGTCTCCCCCCATCCCATCGCTGCCCCCGTCCTCATCCGCCGCGTCGTCCAGGAAATCCTCCTCACTCGTGTCGTCCGACTTGGCGGCCGCTCGCCGCGGGTACAGCCCGGTTTTCAGGTCGGGCTCCTCCTGGTCATGGTCCTCCATGAGGAACTGCGTGGTGTTGTAGGGAGCCACCGGCTGCCCCTTTGCGAACATCTCCGCCCGCAGCCGGGAGGCGCGGAGGCTCTGCCGCTCGTCGAACTGCTGCTTCTCCTCCCAGCTCAGCTTCGAGTACGGCTTCCAACGCCGCTTCTTCTTCGACGGCCGCCGACGGTGCTTCTTCTTCACCGGCCACTCCTCGGTGCGTCCCACGGCCCGGTACCGCGGGCCCAGGCCGGGACGCCCCGCTCCACCCGCCGGCGGCCGCCCCTCGGCGCCGCCCGCCGCCGCCTCCGCCCCGGGGGGCGGCAGCCGCCCGGCATCGCCGTCCTCCGCCGGCGCCTCTCCGCGCTCTGGCTGCGGCTCGGGCTCAGACTGAGGCTCTGGCCGCGCCTCGGGCTCGGAGCGACACTCCGGTTCGCACTGGGGCTCCGGCCCCGGTTCAGCGGGCGCCGCGTCGGCCATAGCGCTGCGCTCGGCTACGCTCGCTGACGGGCGCTACCGGCGCCGCATGGGGCCGGCTCCGCTCAGGCCGACCGAGACATGGCCCGGGGGAGGTTTAACGCCGCCGGGCCCGCCTCCTCGCGCGCACTGCACGCGCCGCCGCCGCCGCTCCCGCCGCAACCCCACCCCACGCCCCAACCCGCGCCCGCCGCCGCCCGCTCCCGACTGCCTCTCTTCGGCCGCCGCCGCCCCCTTTATACCCGCGCGCGCCCCGCCCCTCCCCGCGCAGGCGCCCTATGCGCCCCGCCCCGCCGCGCGTCGGGCCCCGCCTCCGCCGCGCGCCCCGCGCCGCCGCCACGGCCCCGCGCGCGCGGGCGGTGCCGCCTCGCGGCCAATCAGCGGGCGCGGGGGGCGGGCCTGCCCGTCGAGACACGCCCCTGGCCGTTGCAGGGACTAACCACCATTGGTCAGCATGGACGCCAGTCGTGCGCGACGCCACCAATCGCGAGGGGGCGAGGGCGGGACCGGGCTGTACCACACGGTGGGGGAGTCGCCGTACGCGGGGCCGCGCGCGCCCTGCGACCTTCAGGCCCGTGCCGAGGGCAGCGCGCGCGCTCCCCCCTGCGGCGGGGCTGTGGCACGGTCCGAAAAGAGTCCCCGCGCGGCGGAGGCGCCGCCAGCGGTGCTGAGGCCCGGGGACCCGGGCGGGTATACAGGGCCGGGCCGGGCCGGGCCGGGCCGGGCTCGGCTCGGCTCGGCTCGGCTCAGGGGGCCGGGAGGAGCTTCAGGGCCGGACCGGGGGGAAGGGGGGGAGCGGAAGGATCCCAGCGCCGTGCGAATGCGGCGGGGCTGCAATTGGCGGAGGGAGATGTAAACAAACCAGAGCGGAAAGAAGTCCTTTCTTAAAGGCGCCGCGTGCCTTTTTGCAGGGGCGGTGCGGAGCTGCGCTACCGAAGTTCGGGGGGGTGCGGGGGGGAGGGAGAAGGGGGGGGATGGGAATGGGGAGGTCCCGGGCCTTGCGCTGGTCCCAGTACTGGTTCCATTCCTGATCCTGCCACCCCCACCCGCGGTGGCGATGTCGCCCTCGGGCCCCACTTTCGGGAGCAGGGGGGGCCCGCGGCCTTGAGGGGTCCGGAGGGGTTTGGGGGGCCCAGTTGAGGGACACACGTCATAGGGACACACGGCTGGGGGGAGCCATGGACGGGCCGGGGGGCGGCCCTGGGGGGTGCTATTGGGGCTCCTTGTCTGAGGGGGAAACAGGACAGGGGGGCCCCTGTGGGACCCACGCCCCGGAGCCTCACGGCCGGGCGGGGCACAGCCAGCAGAATGGGGGGGGTCTGTGTCACTGCTGTGTCACCAGCGGGGGGAACCTGCCCTACCCAGCCCTCACACCGGCAGGGCTTCCCCCGGCCCGGCGGAGCGGCCACCGGGGACCCCGGGATGGCACCGCTGGACCCCACGTCAGGGAGGTGCCGGGGGCCCCCAGCCCCCGCGGGGTCCGGAACAGGGTGGGGGTGGCGCTGGCACGGGCCCGGTGGCACAGAGGGCCACCGCCAACCCCTGGCGTGGGGAGGACCCTCAGGGTGGGCATGGACCCAGCCGGGGGGACAGGTTGGGGCCTGGACACAGACTGCATGCACGGGGGACATGGCAGCCACGGCCACCATGCCCCTCTAGCCACGAGAGGGGACCAGGCGGGGACAGGGGGTGAAGGGTGAGGACAGTGGCCGGGCCGCAGCAGGTGGCCGGGCCGGAGCGTTTCGCTGCAGTCCCCTCCCCTCTCAGGGCACAGGCAGCGGGGCTGAACCGAAAAGGCAACTTTAATTGAGGCAGGTTCGGTGATGTCCCAGCACCCCGTGGCCTCGGTGGCCGGGGACGGGCCCGTGGCTGTCCCTGCCACCAGCGGGGCCGCAGCTGGTCCTGGTCTGGCTGTGCGTGGCAGCGGCGCGGTGGCTGCCCGGGGTCCGTACGGGGCAATTCCAGCCCCGCTCCCGGCCGGGCCGGTGCTGGCCCTGAGTGTCGGTGCCGGTGCCGGTGCCCGGGCGGGCCCGGCCCGCAGAGCCCCGTGGCTGGTGAGGCGATTCCCGCGTGGCTCCGTGACGCTTCCCCGGCTCGTGCGAAGCAGGATGGGCAAGGAGGGGTGGCGGTGGCGGGGGACGGAGGGTCACCTCTTCCTGCCCTGCCAGTGGCGCAGCAGCCACTGGGTGACGAAGGGCCAGGTGGCCAGGAAGAGCAGCGTTCGCGGGGACACGGTCAGGTGCCACGGTGACATCGCCTGGCGAGGGGACAGAGGTGTCACCGGGGTCACCAAACACCCCCTCAGCCCTCTGCTGAAAGGAACCGCTGCCACTGCTCGGTGGTCCGGGTCACTCTCCTACTCCTCTGAAGATCGTGCATCACACCCCATCCCTGGGGCCACGTTCCCATGGATGTCAGCTGCTCCCCAGCTGAGGGTCCCTTCCCTGACCTCCCCCAGCTGTGTGTCCCAAGGCCCCAGTGGGCTGTCGGGTTGGCAGGGGGACAGCAGGGCCACCCGCAGCACTTTCTCCACCCGCAACTCACCTGTGGAGCAAGTTCTGGGCCTGGGTCTGTCCCAGCCGCATCCTCCTGCAAGACAGGAGAGGATTTAGGGTGCAGGTGGGGCTGGCATCCCCCTTCCAGCCCCTGTGCCCTTGTGAGAGGGGAGGGAATGGGAGTCCACGCAGGGGTCCTGCAAGGGATCCAGATGCACCTGGTCCAGGACCCCAGGGGCAGCGGGAATGAGGGAGGCAGGGGGAATAAGAGGAGGCAATGGCAGCGAGGGGCAGCAGCTCCCTGTCCGCACCGTGGGCCGGATCCGGGCAGCACCAACCACCGTGGGGGACCCCACAGCCCTGTCCCAGAGCCCGGAGCTGACCCCGCTGTCCCGGCCAGGCCGGTGCGGTGTCCCAGTCCTGCCCCCGGCCCGTACCTGGGCAGCGCTGAGCGTCTCCAGCCGGCTCAGCCGCTCCCGCACTCGCCGCAGCTCCTCCTGCAGTGCCCGCACTGTGTTGGCCACGTGGGCCTCCAGCTCCGCCGCCAGCCCCGGGGCCAGCTCGGGGGTGCTCCCGGGGTCCTCCCCTGCCAGACGGACATCTGCGGGCACAGGGACGGGCACACAGGTGGCAGAGCAGGCTGAGCACCGCCCAAGGACCCGGGGGCTGGCACTGCCTATCCCACCGGTCACCCACCGGTGAGCAGCGACTCCCATGGGGCACCTGCCGTGGGCTGCCCACACCACAGCCGCTCCCAGCCCAGCCCAGCAGCCCCAGCTGCACCCAGGTGGTCCCCGGGGCCGTGCACCACTGTGTCCCCTCCAGTGCCGTGATGGTGGCAGTGAGTGGCCAGCCCACCAACGGGGTGGGTGCTGTAGTGTGTGTGGGTCACCTTGTGACACCTGATGAAGGTGCCACCACTAGGCAGGACACCCAGGGCCAGGGCAGCTCCTCCCTGCCCTCCCCCGGCCCAGCAAAGACCCCAACCACCCCAGAAAACACCTGGATAATCCAGGCTGTGAGAGGGACACAGGCAGGGACTCACTGCCAGCCCCTGGGGACAGCCCAGCCCGGCGTGATCGGCCTCGGGATAAGTTTACTGCCAAGGTCAAGCAGCCCGGAAGGGAATAGTAAAGAGTGAAACACGTGGGCTGTGCCCAGGTGAGGCAATGGCAGCAGTCCCATGGATGAGGATGGCAATGCCACCTCAGGGCAGCCCAGTATGTCTGGGGACAGCACAGAGGGTGGCAGGAGGTTCCTCCCTGCAGTGGCAGAGCTCGAGGCCTGGTGGTCCCCAGACAGCAGCAGTAGTGGTGGGTGGCATCAGGTGAGTGGCACTGCTGTCCCCAAGGCCTCCAGGGCACAGGGCCCAGCTTCATCCCCTGCTCTCCTGGCACCACCCACATCCAAAGGCACCACTGATGTGGTTGGACCAGGGCAGGGGAGCCAGGGACCAGCATTCCATGCCTGGCTGCTGAAGGGCCAGCAGAGCATCCTGCAAATTTGTACCACTGCAAGAAATGGGCAAAGGAAGGGCTGTGTCCTGGAGGACTAAAGCCACTGAACTGCTTGGGGACCAAAGGGTGCAGAGATAGGACTCTTAGGACTTCCTTCAGCTACTGATGATGTGGGTGCTGGAGCCAAACTCGGTCCTCTGCGGGTGGTGGCAGCCCCCACCCTCCAGCCCAGCCCATGGGAGGGGCAGCAGCAGGAAGGGTTGCAGGGACAAGCTCTGCACCCACCTGTCTCGGAGCCCAGGGCTGTGAGGTTGGTGCTGCTGCTCCCCTCGGCTCTTCTGCCTTCGCCCTGCTCACCCTGCCCAGCACTGTGGGGCACTGGGGGCTCAGTCCCAGCCTGGACCACACTTGGGGTGAGCCCCTGCACCTGCCCAGCCTATGAGATGGGAGAGAAGGGCCCTGAGACTCCCACTCCCCTCCCCAGGGCAGGGAGGGGGACGCCAGGGTAGCAGTGGAGTCCTTCTCTGCCTTGTGGTGGCATTTTTGGGGGTGGAGGGTGCGTGGGACTGAGTGAAGTTGAATCCCAGAGGTAACACCAGCCAGCACCTGGCTTGGGAGGTGATACCTGAGGGGAGTGAGGTGCCCAGACTTGAGGTGGAAAAAGAGGAGCTGCTGGTCTTGCCCAACCCCAAGAGCCCCCAGTGCCCCATCAGATCCACACCACAGGAATGGGGGGACTGAGGAGGCTCCTCAGCATCCCCTCTGTGACAGGGACCACGCTCCAGGAGTGGTACAAAGCACAGAGATGTGCAGGAGGGTGTCCCTGCAGGTTTTGTGAGGTCCCAGGCTGGTGGTGCTGTGCAGCACAGGCAGGGCAGGGATGGCAAAGCCTCCAGTGCTTCCTCCATTACCTTCTCAGGCTCCATCTGCTCCAGGGTGTCACAGAATGTGTCCCCCTCAGAGTCACTCGTCACCTGGCTCCCCTCGAACGCCTTGGGGGCAGGAGCCAGCCCAGCCCCTGGAAGGGAAGCACAGGGCTGAGCCCTGGGCAGGGCAGGGGTGCCCAGCTGTGTCTGGAGGGCAGCAGGTGAAGCAAGGGATGTGCATGCCCAGGGCAAGGCAGGAGGGAAACCGAGGCACTGCGGGGGTGGAAGCAGCTCTTTTAACGAACGTGGCCCAGATGGTGCCATGAATCCAAGGACTGAATTCCCCCTTCTGCCACCCAGGGTGTCCCATTGGCATAATACCCAAGGCCCTGGGGCAGCAGTGGCACAGGCAAGGAAACTGCCCAGCTCCCTGGGCACTGCGAGCCCCAGCACTCGAGGCTGGCACGCTGAGACACTGGCACTTGCTCTGTGACCATATTTGCTCCTGGGGGAAGGCTAGAGCTGCAGGGGGAGGAGGAACCTCCCCGAAGCACCCTGCCCACCCCAGGGCACACCAGGGGCCCCTCGAGGGAGGCACAGGGTAGGAGGGGGTGACTGCAGAAGGGGCTGTGAGAGAAAAACCAGAGCTGAGGCGTCCTCAGGGAGGGCCAGGGCGTGGCACTGTGAATCCCAATGCCAAGGAAGCAGCAAATGTAGCTTGATCCTCTCATGGATCATAGACATTTCAGGGTGATATTTTCCCAGTCCATTGGGGCAACAGCCTCCCCTTGTCCCCGTAGTTTAGCAGAGTCAGGCCCCTTTGCACAAGCAGGAGTGAGGCAGAGCCAGCCCCACATGTCCAGGGTCATCCCAGTGAAAGCTGCACCCACAAACTGCCCTGTGATAGGGGCAGTGCCTGGAACATCGGCAGGGCTGGAGCAGAGCTGGAGTCAACAGTTCCGTGGGTGGAAGGAGCCCCAGCCCCAGTGCCTGCTCCACGAGGTCTCTGCCAGGTGCTGGCCACACCAGGGACACCAACCTGGCATGTGCTGCCCGTCCTGCTGCTCCCCAGGCACGGTGTCTCTGGGGCTCTCCAGAGCCGGGCTGCTCGCTGGGACATCCTGGCTGGGGCCATCCAGCCTCCCCTGGCTCTCTGCACGGAGGGAAGAGGCAGAGCAGGGTCATTCTGTGGGGTCAGAGTCGTGCTGTCCTTGCAGTGCTGGCTCCCTGTGGTTGGGCTGCCCTGCCAGCACAGCTGGGGGACACACAGATGCCAGGGACCAGCCACAGACCAGCAGCCTCTGGAGGTGCCAGCAGCTGGCAGAGAAGGAGAGGAGCCAGCTTTGTTTGCTCACAGCCCAGGAATTCATGTAGGTTTACTCTGTGCAGACTACCTTGCTCACCCAGGGGTGGCTGGGGTGTCCCTGTCCCCGAGCCCCTGTGGCAGCAGGCAGAGGGATCAGCACTGGTGAGTGACAGCGACAGTCCTGTCCCCTGGCAGTGCCCAGGGCACAGCCACAATAACAGAGCCCAGTGCTGGAAGAGCCTTGTGTGGGCAGTCGCACCCCAAGGACCTGGGGCAGCAGCACCCTGAGAAGGTCTGACCCCAGCCCCCCCCAGCACCCCGTGGAGCCCATGGAGTTAATCCCAGCCAGATTTCCAGGGACTTTGCTCCCTGCTCCTGGGCAGGCAGGTGTGTGGCAACGCTGCCCTGCTGCTCCTTGCCTGCACCTCTCTGCTGTCCCCAGCCTGCCTTCAGCATCGCAGAATGCCCCCCCAATGAGGGGGACAAGGCTGCACCCCACACAGGGCTGCCCTGCTCTGGGATCCTCCACATTCCCAAATCCTCCTCAGGGTGTGCTGTGACCCACAGAGTGGTGGGTGCAGGCAGGGTCCTGTCACCTCACACAGCACCAGGACAGCCCAGCCACGTTCACAAGGTTCTGGTTAAAGTGCCACGCACTGGAGACCTGTTGGGACCTGGAACCATCTGTGATTTGGTTTCCAAGTGCCACTTTATAACGTGCTGTCTTTGTAAATAAACAAAATCAAAGCTGCGATTGCAGTGTCTGAAGGCAGGTTTGGGAACCTTTAACACAAATGACTCAACACCTTCAGGAGCTCAGTGCTTTGCACCTCAGTTCCAGCCACCTTGGGCTCAACAGGTTTAGATTTAAATGACAGTATCACCTGTAAGTGACACTCCCCAGTGGATTATGACCAGTTTAGACACAGCTTTTAAATTTCAGAGAAAAACTAAGTCTGCCTTTTAAAGGTTTTCAGCATCAAAATGGAGAACTAAGCACCTGGGTACCACAGGAAGGAGCGGCTGCCCTGGGGCCAAGCCTTACATCCCAGTTGTAAGCAGGGGGTGACAGGCACGGGACAGATGCCTCGGGAGTGAGTCTGTTTGCCAGGGCTCTCCCAAAACACTGACAGGTCACACACTCGCTGTGAATAAGCCCTGGAAGCCCCTGTGCTGCTGAGCTGATCGCTGGTGGTGCCTTTCTGAGCCCCTCGCCCCTCGGGTGCTCCCCACCAGTCACACACCCAGGACAGCCCTGCAGGGCAGGTGGGACAGGTCCCCAGCCCCCTCCTGGCACCAGGCGGCAGCCAGAGGCATGGAAAGGGCTGGGAAGGATTTCCCTCTAGCACAAACCAGCCCAAATAATCCCATTTCTCAAGCCCTGTTTCTCCACATCCCCTCCAAGCAGGAGCTGGCCGGCTTGTCCAGATGTTTACAGCAGCTGAGGTGGAGCCCTGCCTGGAGCGGCCGGAGCCAAGGGGAAGCACAGCCCCCCCCGGAGCTGATCCCTGCCCCTCTGCACACACGGACTGCGGCCAAGGGCCACTTGGAAGCCAAATCTCAAACACTCGCCTCAAAGTTTGGCGGAGAGTAAGCCCAGAATGTGTCACACAAAGGGACACCTGTGTCCCACAGAGGGGACACCGGGCTGCCCACAGAGCCCCTCGGCAGCAGCAGTGTCGGTGGGATGTGGTGTGTCCATCCCGTGCCCGCTCAGAGAGCAGCACAGGACGTGTCCTGGGGACGGACCGGACCCGGGGACAGCGGGAGCGCCGTGCCATGAAGGCGGCACCGACCGAGGGCAGGGATGCGCCGGGCACAGCCGGGGCACGGCGGCCCCCACTCACCCCCTTTCCTCTTGAAGAAGGACTCGGGGGGCCGGGGCATGTCGTGGATGACCTCGTAGAGCGGCTCGAAGTAGCGGAACATTTCCTCGGTGGTCTCGTCCATGGGCACGGTGTCAATGACCTGCGGAGGGCCGCGGCTGGACACGGGCACCGCGCAGCGCCCGGCCCGGCCCCGCCGCCCGCCCCGTTACCTTCTGGGCCACCTTCTTCATCTCCGCCACGTACGCGGCCATCGCCTCCTCCTTGGACATCCTGCCCAGGCTGTGCCAGGCGTCCCTGCGGGGCCGGGGCCGTGAGCGGGCCGGGGGGAACCGGACCCGGACCCGAACCGGAGCGGAACCGGGACCCCCCCCGCTCTTACCACTTGTACCGGCCGATGGGGTCCCAGAAGCCGGGCCGCGGGCCCTGGCAGCACCCCGCTGTCGCCTGCTTGTAGTAGCTGTAGAAGCGCAGCATCTCCTCATAGGAGGGCCGGTACGCACCTGCGGGACACGGTTAGCGGGGCCGCCGCCGCCGCGGCTGCCCGGTCCCAGTCCCGGCCCCTACTCACCGCTCCGCGGCAGCCCCTGGATCACCTGCACGGCGGCGCGGAACTGCGCCCCGCAGCCCGGCTCCTCCATGGCGGGACCGGCCCCGCACCGGCCCCGGCCCCGGCCCCGGCCCGGCGCGGGTCCTTCTCCCTGCGGGGATAGCACGGGGCCAATCAGCGCCCGTCTTCCATCGACCCCTCCGCATCTGGCCCAATCAGCGCCCGTCTTCCATCGGCCCCCTCCGCGCCTCGCCCAATCAGCGCGCGGCTCTCGGACCGGGCCCCTCCCGCCCCTGCGTCCCGTCTCCTAGCGCGGCGCGCGCGCCCCCTGCCGGCCGGACTGTGCAGGCGCGAAGGGCCGGGAGCGCCGCCTGGCGGGAACGGGGGAGACTGCACAGCTGGGGACACGGCGGGACAGGGACACGGACAGAGGGATAGGGAGACAGAGACAGAGCGACAGGGACAGGGACAGTGGGAGAGGGACAGTGGGACAGTGGGACAACAGGACAGGGACAGAGGGACAGGGATAGAGGGACAGGGAGACAGAGACAGCGACAGGGACAGGGACAGTGGACAGGGACAGAGGGACAGGGACAGAGGCACAGGGACTGTGGGAGAGGGACAGTGGGACAGTGGGACAACAGGACAGGGACAGTGCACAGGGACAGTGCACAGGGCAGTGAAACAGGGCACAGGGACAGAGAAGCTGTGCACCAGGATAGGTGCACCCAGACAGGTATTGGGACAGTGCCTGGGAAACTGCACCAGGACAGGGCATGGGGACAGTGAGTCTCTGTCTAAGGACACCCCCAGGATGTGGGTGGTGGTCCAGCACCCGGGAACAGCGAGGCTGTGCCCCAGGCCAGAGCCCAGGTGTGGAGCCAGAGTGTCCAGAGCCCCAGGACAGTGCTTTGGGACAGTTCTCTGCTGCACCAGGGCAGTGCAGTGACACCGCAGCCACGTCCTAGGACAGGGACCCTGTGCAAGACGACAGAACTCTGTGCCACGGCACCAGGCACAGGGACAGTGTTTAGTGTGCCAGGTTTCATCCTGGGCTATGCAGCAGGACAAGGCAGGCAGGAAGTGCCAGAGCACAGGGATGCTCTGGGACACTGGCACAGGATGCCCAGAGAAGCTGTGGCTGCCCCTGGATCCCTGGAAGTGCCCCAGGCCAGGCTGGACAGGGCTTGGAGCAGCCTGGGATAGTGGAAGGTTTCCCTGCCTGTGGCAGGGGTGACACTCGGTGGGCTTTAAGGATCCTTCCAACCCAAACCATTCTGGGATTCTGTGATAACCATCCAGGATTCTAGGGTCACACGGGGCCATGCACTGTGACACCAGGACAGTGCACCAGGCATGGGGACAATGCAGTGGAGCCACATACAGGGGAATGGACCAGGAGACTGGGACACTGCACTGGGATACTGTGCTAGGACTCTACATTAGGGATCTGGGACAGTGTCACTAGGAATCTGGAATATGGCACTGGGACAGTGTCACCAGGGCACTGGGCAGGAGCAGGGTCCCATTGGATAGGGAGGGAACAGCTGGGTCAGGCAGAGTAATTGTTAATTATTATCCAACTTTACCCACTGTTCTTTTATTCACTGCATACTTTTATCCACTGCTAATTATTATCCAACTTAAGTAATTATAATAGTAAGGAAAGGGCAGAATTTAGGGTCTCTGAGCCCCCAAGGTGAAGCTCCTTCCTCCTCTGCTCCAAGGGCTTTCCTTGAAGGCAGGGAGCTGTGGGGACATGGGGACATGTGTGACCTGGCAGAGCAAGGTGCCCTGGGGAAGTGAGAGGTTCTGGGGTGCTGTGGGGCACACCTGGATCCAGCCCTGGTGGGATTGGGATGCAGAGCAGCTTTCAGCATCCCTGTGCTGGCTTCATCCTTGGCTCACACTCTGGTTTTCCAAATTTAATCCCACCTCCAAATTCCAATCCCAACCCCCCCTCAACTCTTCTAAATCTCATCCAAATCGCCTGGGGAAACATCTCCTTTGCCAATTGAAGATAAATAAATATAACGAAATAAATAATAACTATATTAAATAAAAGCAGTAAAGCCTTTTAAACCTCCGGCCATTTCCAAGCTCTGACTCAGGATTCCTGCTCGGAACAGCGACAGGGCCTCGCTGGCTCCGGCTGCCGGCAGAGCCAGCCCCGAATCCCGAGCGCTGATTCACGGAACACGTGCTGTGCTATAAGCGGCCGGGAATGCGATCCCTGCTTTCCATGGGATCCCTTCCAACCCGCTGGCTGGCGGGAGAAAATAGCAACGCCTCGGGAGAGGAGGAACCGCACAGGGATTTGTTCGTGCTGTGGATTTTGCAGCCAGAGGTGTTTATCCTGGTCATCCCACAGGGTCGAGGCATCTGTTACTGAATTCCTGGGAATGCAGTTTCAACGGGAGGAAGAGAACTTGGAGCAGAGCCCGGATATGTGAGTTGCAAATGCATTTTTGGGGTGACTCTGGTGTCCCTCCTTCCCCAAAGTATTCAGGAAGAGCTTTATCCCCCACAAACCCAGCCCAGGGACTGCACAGATGTGCCCCCAGCTGCCCAGATGTTGCAGGAGTTGCCCAGGTCTTGAACTACAGAAGTAAAATGCTGTCCCAGGCTGCTCAGATGCTGTCCAGATGTCTCCCTGCATGCAAAGATGTTTCTCTGGGATAACCAGAGATTGTCTCAGGAGTGCCCATTTGTTGCTCTGGGTGCCCAGATGTTGCTCAGGACACATAAATATCAGGCAAGATGCCCAGATGTTGCCATGGATGCCCCAATGTTCCCTCAGTACATTCCAATATCCCCTAGGGTACCCAGATGCTGCCCTAAGTGTCCAGATGTCACCCCAGGATACTCAGGTATCACTCAAAGTGCCCAGATGTTGCCCAGATGTTGCTCCAGTCTGCTCTGCTCTCACATCTGGATGCCCAACTGTCTCACCCAGGGGGTGGCAGCACCCCTGCAGACCTGGCATGGGGAAGGTCACCTCCTGCTCCTGTCCTGTAGCTCCTGGTCCCCACAGCCCAGCCAGGCCTGGGATGGCCTCCCTGCTCCCCTGGACACTCTGGATTTTTGGAAAAAGCCTGCAGTCACCCATCCCTTCCTGCCCCACCCACCCTCAGTGGTGGCTGTGGGAAAACAGCAACCAGGGACAGAGCAAGAGGAAATGGCTTCAAGCTGTGCTAGGGGAGGGTCAGGTTGGACATCAGGAGGAACTTCTCCATGGAAAGGGTGGTCAGGCCTTGGAAGAAGCTGCCCAGGGAAGGGGTGGAGTCCCCATCCCTGGAGGTGCCCAAGAACAGCTGGGCATGGCACTCAGTGTCTGGGCTGGTGACAAGGTGGGGGTCGGGCACAGCCTGGACTCGGTGATCCTGGGGGTCTTTCCCACCCTAAACGATTCTGGGGTCTGTGTGTACAGACACACACACACACACGTGGGGCTCTGGGACTGGCACTTCCCAGCTCATGCTGCTGCCCCTCCCTGGCTGTCCCACCAGTGGGGACAGTCACCTGGAGGTCCCAGCACCTGCCTGTGGCCCCCCAGCCTGGTGCCACCAGCCCATGAGCTGGGGCAGGACTGGTTCCCCCAGGTGTGGTGACAAAGGGGGTGCCCTGGGTCCCCACTGGACGCTGCCAGGGTGGCACTGACAACCGTGGCCCCCGAGCAGAGTGGGGTTCCCTGCTGGTGACCAGGGTGTCCCTTGGGCCGGTCCTGGGTGCAGGCGGAGCCAGGGGTGCTGTGGGGATTCCGCGTCTGTCCCGGGACGGGCCGGGCCTTGGGACAGAGCGGGACCCACTGCACAGAACGAACACCTGGGTGCACTCGGGACCCCGGCCCGTTCCCGGTGCTGAAGTAGCCCCGGTGCAGAACGAGCCCCCTGCAGCCGGTGCGGCCCCATCCCGAGCAGCCCCGCTCGCCCCGGGCCGGCACAAATGGTTAAACAGCGCCTGGGCTGCGATGGCTCCTCCCGGTCCCTCCCCGCGGCCGGCCCCGGTCACGGCCCGGCCGCCCAGCCCCAGTCCAGCCCCAGCGCCGACCTCCGCCACCGCCCAGCCCGGTTACACCGGCCGGGGCCACCGGGCGTACCGGGAGCAACACAACTACCCGGGGCACCGGGGGCACCAAGAGCACCGGAGTCCCGGGAGCACCGGAGTCCCGGCAGCACCGGCAGCACCGGGAGCACCGGCGGTACCGGGAGTCCCGGGGGTCCCGCGTCATGATCTGCGGCAGGAAGGCGCGTCCCGCCGCCGAGCAGCTCCGCGCCCCGTCTGACGGTGCCGGAGGCTCCCGCCGGCCCGGGAGAGCCCTGAAGAAAATGGGTGAGTTCGGGGGAACCGGGCAGAATCTCCGGCAGAGCTGTGCCGAAGGGGTCCGGGAGGGATCTCCGTGGCTGAAAGGGTCCCTAAAATGGATGGGGACCCTTGTGTCAGGAATAGGTGCCCATGGCATGGTGGGGGCCCTCATGGACAGAGATGGGTCCCCAGGGACAGAAGAGTTCCCGTGGTAGGGAGGGTCCCCGAGGTGGATGGGTTCCCCCACACAGGGAAGGGTCCCCCTGGATGGGAGGAGTCCATGAGGCGACCCCAAAATAGCTGTGGATGGCCCCAGCCGCTGGGGCACAGCAGGGTTAGGGTTTGGCCACATCACAGGTGACAGAAGTCCCCTTGCTCAGGGTATTTATTGTCCCCAGGGCTCAGGTCCCCCCTCCCTGGGACCTTCCCCAACACCCTGCCTCAGTTTCCCCACCCAGGGGTGCTGCCCATGGCACAGTGGGCACACGAGGTTCACTAGCCCAGGCAGGGGCAGTGGGTGCCTGGCAAGGTCAGGATGTGTCCCTGGGAGCGGCCGGGCTGGTCTGGAGTGGGAGCAGTGGGCAGGGCCAGGTCTGGCCCTGGCTTTGGACACGGGGCTGTGTGCCTGGAGCTGCTGTAGCTCCGCGTCCATGTCCGTGTGTCTGTGTGTCCTTGCATCCATCTGTCCCTCTATATCCACACATCCATGTGTCCATCTGTCCCTGCATCCCAGCACCTGTCTGTCCGTGCATCCCCTTGGCTGTGTCTTGGAGCACCCATCCCTACGCCCATGCCCCACCATGTCTGACTGTCCATGCATCCTGATGCTTGTCATCCATGTGCCCATGTGTCTGTGTATCCTGGCAGCACTGCATCCATGCACCTGTGCACTCATGCATCCCTGCACCCATGTTTCCATGCATCCCTGTGTCCACATGTACCTGCAACTTCACCTGACCGAGCATCTGTCCATGCATTCATATTTGCCTGTGTCCATGCATCTGCACCTGTGCATGGATCTACCTGAATATCCATGTTTTTCTGTCCTTGCATCAGTGGATCCATGTATCCCTGTATCTCCCTATCCATGTATCCACATGTCTCTGTGCATCCACGTGCACAATGCACCCAGGTGTCCGTGCATCCACACACCTGTGCCCGTGGATCTGGCATTCCGTGTGCCCATGGACCTGTATCCATGTGTCCATACATCCCTGCATCTCTGAGCTCGTGCAGCCATGTATCCATACCTGCCCTTCATCCTGCACCTTGGGCAGGATGTGACCGTGCAGGAGGAGCTGGCAGCTGGTGGCTGTATCCCCAAGGCCATGGCTGGCTCAGGATGTTCCTGGGAGCCCCAAAACCACCCTTTTCCAGCCCAGGAGTGGAATCTCCATCCAGAGCAGGACGTGGCCACTGGGGATTTTAGGAATGGCTGCCAAAACAAAAAAGGGAGGAAATAAGCACTCCGTGAATAGATGGAAAAGTCCTGGCTGAGGCGTGGCCCCACAAGTCCCCCGAGTCCACCCCGTCATTGTTCCCAGCCTGAGCTCTGCTGCTGGCACTGTCCTGGCACTCTCCGTGCAGGATCCAGGCAGCTTTGCTGGGATTTAGCAGCTGAGCTGTATCACTGCTGTGTCCTGTCCCCCCGAACAGGCACACTGTGCTCCAAAGGGGCCCAAGGGCAGTGGCTTGTCCTGTCTGTCCTCTCCTGCCTGTCCTTTCCCATTCCAACCCATTCCTGTCCCATCACATCCCATCCTGCCTTTTCTGCCCTGTCCTATGGTGTTGTATCCCATCCCATCCCATCCCATCCCATCTACTCTGTCCCATCTCATCTGCCCCATCTTGTCCCTGCCTGCCCTGTCCCATCCTGTCCTGTCATGTTTGTCCTGCCCATTCTGTCTCATCCAGTCCACTCTGCCCCAACTCTTCCTGTCCAATCCTGTTTGTCCCATCTTGTCTCATTTGCATTGTCACATTGTGTCATTCACGTTCCACCACATCAGCCTGTCCTGTCCCATCCCTCCATCCTGTCCCATGCCGTGCTGTACTGTTCTGTCCCATTGTGTCTGGCCCATCCCATCCCATCCCATCCCATCCCATCCCATCCCATCCCATCCCATCCCATCTGTCCTGTCCCATTTGTCCCATGCCATCCCATCAGATACAGATGTGCACCCAGATGTGCACCAACCCCCCCCCCCACTCCCAGCCCTACCCCCAGCACACCCTTAGAACCCCCAGTGCCCCCACACCCCCCAGTAGCCCAGGGCTGGTCCCCGCAGGGCTGACGGAGGATGAGGATGTCCAGCGGATGCTCCGGGGGTCCCTGCTCTGGAAGGTGAAGGCCAAGGGGGGCTGCAGGGAGCGGCTGTTCCGCCTGCAGGAGGACGGGGTCACCGTCTGCTTCGAGGGACGCTTCGGGCGTGCTCGCTCCCCCCGGAGCTGTGAGTGCTGGGACTGTCCCTTGGGGGCTCGGGGACACCGAGACACATCCTGCACTTCCATGAGCTGCAGGGAGGGACAGGACTGGGCAGTGCCCCAACCCCACCCCTAGACCCCCACCAAGGACCTAGACCCTTACTCAGACCCCCACCTGGGACCCCGATCCCAATCCAGGACTTAGTCCACAACCTTGGGCCTGGACTCCCACACAGAATCCAGACACCTTGTGAGACTCAGACCCCAATCCAGGACCCCCACCTGGGACCCAGACCCTACTCTAGAACCTAGACCCCACCTGGGACCCAGATCCATTTCCAGCATCCAGAACCCCACCTGGAGCCACACCTTGGACCACAACCCAGTTCCCAGGCCTGGATCCCCACTCATAACCCAGACCCCACCTGAGTTCCAGACCCCAACCCAGGACCCAGATCCCAGCCCAGGATCCAAATTCCTCAGTAAGAACAGACCCAATCCTGAGATATGGAACTCCACAATCCAGACCCCACCCACCCACACCTCCACCTGTGATCCAGATCCCTGCCTGGATCCCCACCTGTGACCTGGATCTCTGACCCCCACCCAGGATCCAGACAACCCCCTCACTTCAGACCCTAGCCCAGGACCCAGTTTCCCACCCAGTACCCAGACCACAATCCTGGACCTGCACCCCAAGCCTGGGATCCAGACCCTCACCCGAGATACGAATCTAATCCCAAATATGGACCCGCACCCAATACCTGAACTCCAACCCACTTCATGCAGTGGCTCCCAGAGCCTTCCAACACTTCCCAGTGTCTCCCAGTACATCCCGTGCAGAGCTGTAAGAGCCCCCACCTTTCCCCATCCCCCCCGGGGTCAGCACAAGGTCCTGTCTCCCAGCCAGACTCTGTCCCCCTCTCCGGCGTCACCCGTCTCTTTCCACCCTCTCCTCTGGGATGGGTGCCTGGAGCTGGCACCGCTGCAAGGCGGCTCCATCCCCTGCCAGCGTCCCCGTCCCCATCGCCGCAGGGACAGCGGCCACGGCTCCTGTCTCGCCTGGGATTAACGGGCTAAGCCAGGCTGCGGCACCGACCGGAGCCGAGCCGTGTCCCCGGGGCGCCGCGGGGACGCGCGGGGTGTCCTCCAGCAGCCAGGGTGTCTTGCAGGATGCTCGCGGGTGGGTGACCCGCCGAGGGAGCGCGTCCATCGTCCCTCCCCACCCCGCGCGTGTCCCCGCAGTCTCGGTGTCGCACATCGAGGGGGTGCGCGAGGGTCGCCAGTCGGAGGGGCTGCGCAAGCACGGGGCCGCCTTCCCCGAGCGCCACTGCTTCACCCTCGCCTTCAAGGGCCGCCGCAAGAACCTCGACCTGGCCGCCCGCGGCGAGGAGGACGCCCGGCACTGGGTGCAGGGGCTCACCAAGCTGATGGGGAGGCTGCAGGCCATGAGCCAGATGGAGAAGCTCGACCAGTATCCTTTGAGGGAGTCCTGGGGGTTTGGGGACAGGGTGGGAATGGCTGCGGGTGACGCCGGGTGGTTTCCTTACCCTGGTGCAGTTGGATCCATGGGGTCCTGCAGCGAGCAGACAGGAACAAGGACAACAAGATGTCCTTCCGGGAGGTGAAGAGCATGCTGAGGATGCTCAACATCGACATGGATGACGTCTACGCCTCCAAGCTCTTCAAGGTACCCAAGGTCCTGCACTGCCTCGCCTGCTGTGCTCGCTGCTGTCTCCGGGAGGGAATTGCTGGCTCCTTCTCTGCCTTCCCCAGCACAGAGAACTGACAAACTCCTCACACCAAAGCCACCCACTGTCACCAGTCCCACCATGAGGGAGGGGCATGAGGTGGGGTGAGCTGTCCCAACCATGTTCCGTGTGTCCCCAAGGTGGGACATTTGTCCCCTGTGGAGAGCTGTCCCTCTGGGTATCTCCCAAGGTTCCTTTCCACCTAGGGAAACTGAGGCACAGAGCTCTGCTCCATCCCAGAGTGGAGGGTCAGAGGGCTCTGCATGGGGGAACAGAGGCAACAGTAGCTGAGCCCCCCAAACTCATCCCATGCACAGCTCCAGGGGACAGGCAGAACACGGCAGAGGGTGGCTGTAGCACATCCACACAGGGAAGGGACAGTCCCTGAGCTGGGCTGTGTCCCAGCAGGAGTGTGACCACTCGGGCAATGAGCGGCTGGAGGGCCGGGAGCTGGAGGAATTCTGCCGGCGCCTGCTGCGGCGGCCGGAGCTGGAGGAGCTTTTCGGGCGCTACTCGGGCGAGGATCGGGTCCTGTCGGCAGAGGAGCTGCAGGATTTCCTGAGGGATCAGGGCGAGGACTCCAGCCTGCGGCAGGCCCGCACCATCATCCGCACCTATGAGCTCAACGAGAAGGGTAGGGCTGGGGGTGTGGGCAATGGGATGGGCATTGCCACGGGAGGGCATGGATGTAGGGGTGGGGCTCTGATTGTTGCCATCACACCCCCAAACGTGTATGGGGTCCTCCAAGGTTTCTGTTACTGTCCTGGTGTCCATTCCATGGTGGCCCCAGTGTCAGCCATCCAACACATGGCCTGGCTGGTACCTGGTGGATGTGACGCTGTGGGGATGGGGGATGTGAAGGTGGGGATGGACAGCAGGGGGTCTTCCACATCTCATGGGTGGTGTGATGTCAGCTCTGGTGTGAATGTGACACTGCTGAGGGACTTCTGTCTTCCTCAGGTCAGGGTGAACACAGCACTAGGAGGACAGGGGACATCATGGTATTTATTAAGGACCTCCATGTCACAATAGTACCCTTAAGGTAGATGTGGCACTAGGAGGATGGGGGCCATCAGATGGGAGATGGAACACAAAGGGGACCTCCCCTGGGTGCCACAGTGCCAGGTCAAGGGTGACATGGCACTGGGAGGACAGAGGGCATCAGGATGGAGACAGGGAACCTCTGTGCCTCATGAGTGTCACCATGACACATCCAGAGTGAATGTGGCACCAGGAGGATGAGTGACATCAGGATGGAGATGGGACACTCGAGGTTACTTATGTGTCCCCTGGGTGTCACAGTGCCAGGTCAGGGGTGAACATGGCACTGCTGAGACCTCCAAGTGGGGAAAGTCCCCAGGATGCCACCCTGCCAGCCCTCTGTGACACCTGCCACCGTGTCCCACAGCCAAGCAGCAGGACCTGATGATGCTGGATGGCTTCATGATGTACCTGCTGTCAGCTGCTGGTGACATCCTTAACCAGGAGCACACCAAGGTGCACCAGGACATGAGCCAGCCCCTGAGCCACTACTTCATCTCCTCCTCCCACAACACCTACCTGACCCGCAACCAGATCGGCGGCACCAGCAGCACCGAAGCCTATGTCAGGTGCGTGTCCCCGTGTCCTGTGGAGCCCCAGGAGGTCCCGTGGCTCGAGGGGACAGGGACTCATGTGTGCCCACGTGGCTGGTGGCAGGGCGCTGAGGGCAGGGTGTCGCTGTGTGGAGCTGGACTGCTGGGAGGGCTCAGACGGGGAACCTGTCGTGTACCACGGCCACACGCTCACCTCCAAAATCCTCTTCCGTGACGTCATCGAGAGCATCCGTGACTCCGCCTTCGAGGTGAGGCCGAGGCCGGCGGCTCTGGAGGGGAGCTGGGTGTCGGGTGTGGGGTTTGGGGTGCTGGGTGCTGGGTGACGGGTGTAGGGTGCTGGGTGCCGAGGGTGGGTTTGGGGTGCTGGGTACCGAGTGCCCGTGCCCGGTGCCAGGTGCCCGGTGCTGAGCGCTGCCCATCCCCATGCCCAGAAATCCCCCTACCCCGTCATCCTGTCCCTGGAGAACCACTGCGGGCTGGAGCAGCAGGCCACCATGGCCCGGCACATGAAGGCCATCCTGGGGGACAGGCTGCTGACACAGCCCCTGCAGGGGCAGGACCCTCACCATCTCCCCTCACCGGAGGTAAGGCCACCTGCCACCCACTGCAGTGTCCCCATGTCCCCTCCGAGCCCTGAGCTCGGACTTGCCTCCTGTAGCAGCTGAAGGAAAAGATCCTGGTGAAGGGCAAGAAACTGCCAGAGTTGTGGCAGGAGCCCCGGGGTGTCACCTCCCTTCTGGACCTCGAGGAGGAGGAAGAGGAAGAGGAGGAAGATGAAGAGGAGGAGAAGGTGCAGGAGAGAAGCCCCCGGAGGGTAAGAGACTTCCCCACGGATGTGGTTCTGGGGGACCACAGCAGCCTGGTGGTCCTGATGGATCAGAGCATCCTGGTGGTGCCAGGGGACCATGGCATGACCATATCCCAGCTGAGCACTGCCAGCTCTGCCATCGCCTTCTGCAGCCCTGCTCTCTCCTCTTGCAGTCACTGCAGTCACTGCAGGAGATCAAACCTCTGCAGGTGGGTCATGGGACGGAGCTGAGGGGGCAGTGGGTGGCTGTCACTGCCTGGAAGAGGGGACTAAGCTTGGGGACCCCTCAGCTGTGCCTCCCACTTCCTATCAGGCTGGGTGGCCTTTCTCGGGTTTGGTGCTTTGATTTCTCTGTCACCTCAAGAGTTCTCCATCATGTTGGGCCTCCATCACATCCAGGGTGACCTGTTGGGGTCTGCATCCTTTTGGGATCTCTGTCACCTCAGGTATTCCTTGGGCTGTCCATTCCCTTGGGCTTTCCCTGACTTCAGGTTCTCAACCTGTTTGGGTTCCCCATCAGCCCCTGGTCCATCATTCCACTGCCTCAGGTTCTGCACCACCTTGGGATCTCCACTGCATCAGGGTCTCCATGGCCTTGGGGGTCTCAGCACTCAGCACTAAGGGGAGGGGGTCTGTAGACCCTTGGGCTGGCAGGTGGCCACTGGGGCCAGGTTGTTCCTGACACCAGGATGGCTCCCACAGGCCAAGGACGCGTCGCAGGTGTCCCCAGAGCTGTCAGCATTGGTGGTGTACTGCCAGGCTGTCCCCTTCCCCGGGCTGGCCCAGGCCCTGCGCCACCCCCAGCCCTGCCAGATGTCCTCCTTCAGCGAGAGGAAAGCACGGAAACTCATCAAGGAGGCAGGTGAGGGCCACCAGATGGGGACAGGCATGGGGACAGGGATGGGGACAGGGTGGGTCCGTATTCCTGAGTCACTGGGATGCAGGATGGGCTAAGAATGATGGGCTCTGTCTCTAGAGTGGCTCCATGGGTGGTGGTCAGGGTCACACTGGCCTCACCCAGGCTGCCCTGGATGGGTGAGACTGGGGTCTGCTGGCAGGGCTTGGGGCCAGGGTTGGGGTCACATGACCAGGATCAAGGTCTGGGATCAGGGTTTAGGATGTGGCATCTGGGTCCAGGGCCTGGGGCTGGCAATAAGGTCTGGGTCAGAGTCCAGGCACTGAGGTTTGGGGTCAAGGGCTGGGGCTGGGGGTCAGTGTCAGAATCTGAGATTAAGATCTGAGTCATTGTTCAGGGTCTGGGGTCCAGGGTCAGTGTCTGGAGTCAAGGATTAGGATCTGGGTCAGGGCATATGCTTGGGGGTTTTGGTTTGGAGTCTGAGGTCCAGGGTCAGGGGTCTAAAGCCAAAGTGGGGGGTCAAGATCAGGATCTAGGATCAGAGGTTTGGGGTCAGGGGTCCAAGGTCAAGGTCTAGGGTTGGGGTCTGAACCCCAGGGTCTGGTTTCAGGGCCTGGGTCACATTTCAGGCTCAGGCCCACCCAGCTGGGCAGGCTCTGTCCGTGTCCCTGTGCCCATCACCCGCTGTTGGGGTCCCCCAGCAGCACTCAGGGTGCAGTGGCCCCACTGAGCCCTGTCCCCCCCAGGCCCGGCGCTGGTCCGGTACAACACCCACCAGCTCAGCCGCGTGTACCCGCTGGGGCTCAAGATGAACTCTGCCAACTACAACCCCCAGGAGATGTGGAATGCTGGCTGCCAGCTGGGTGAGACCCCCAGGCCCCCCCTGACCTGGCACCTGCCCCTGGATCTGTCACCCCCCCTGACACCTGTCCTGCTGTCCCCACAGTGGCCCTCAACTTCCAGACGCCGGGGTACGAGATGGACCTGAACGCCGGGCGCTTCCTGCCCAATGGATGCTGTGGTTACGTCCTGAAGCCCCCGTGCCTGCGCAGCCCCCCCGGGGAGGGGGCCCGGCGCCTGGCACTGCACATCAGGGTGAGGACACCCCATGAGCCTGTCCCCAGGCCCCGGTGGGTGCCACCCCCGTCCCTGCTGGGTCACACCCATGATATTCCAATGCCCAGCCAGGTGCCACCTGTATATTTTCCCAGGTGACAACAACCCTGCTCCCAGTCAGGTGCCACCTAACCTCTTGGGTGACACCAACCTCCGTCCAGCCAGGTGCCACCCATGTCCCCTCAGGGTGTTGCCAACCCAATGTCCAACCTGGTGCCACTCACAAACCTTCTCCTGGGTGCCACCAACCTCTCTTTTGCTGGGGACACCCCTCACATCTGTTTGGGTACCACCCATGTCTCTAATCCTGGGTGACACCAACCCTGCCCCCAAATCCAGCTGGTATCAGCCATGTCCCTTCTCTGAGATGGCAACAGCCGCCTCCCTCCTCCCTACCCTGTCCCCAGTCCCAGCCAAGTGCCACCCACATCCCTTCTCCTGGGGACCCAGCCATATGCCACTCATGTTCCTTCTCCTGCGTGGTACCAACGACCTCCCTCCTCTTCACCCCATCCTCACTCCTGGCTGGATGCCATCTGCTCCTTTCTGGGGACGCCAACCTTGTCCCCAGCCATGTGCCACCTGTGTCCCTTTTCCTGGATGGCACCAGTCACCTCCCTCCTTCTCGCTCTATCCACATTCCTGACTGACACTTCTCCTGGGTGAAACCAACCCTGTCCCCAAATCCAGCTGGTGTAAGCCACTGGGTGGCATCAGCCACCTCCCTTTTTTTCACAGTGTCCCCAGCCCCAGCCAAGTGCCACCCACATCCCTTCTCCTGGGGGCAGCAGTCCTTTCCCCACGCCCACGTTTCCCCAGGCCCCTCGTGGTCCCTGTGCCCTGGTCCCCAGCTCTCTGTGCCACAGGTGATCACAGCACAGCAGCTGCCCAAGCTGAATAGGGACAAGGGCAGCTCCATCGTGGATCCCTTCGTGCGCGTGGAGATCCACGGGATCCCGGCTGACTGCGCCAAGCAACAAACGCACCACAAGCTCAACAACGGTGAGTGCTGGGCACCCCCGGGGACACCCTGGGCACCTGGACCCATGGGGACACTCCAGGGCACCCCGACCCTCCAGGACATCTGTTACCTCTTACAGCCCCTGAATCCCAAGAATGCCCAAGGACAGCCCAGTCTCGAGGGCCCCTTGGGCACCCTGATCCCTGCAGACCCCCCAGGGAACCTGATCTTCAGGGGTGCTCCAGGACACCCTGACCCCAGGGTCCCTCAGGATACCCCAGGGCACCTTGATCCAGAGACACCTTGGTGCCAGGGGCAGCCTGGTCCCCGTGAGGGACAGTGCCTTGGGTACCCAAACCCCAGCACTCATTGCCAGTTGAACCAGTGCCCAGGACATCCCAGTCCCCTCTGTGCACCACAATGCCCTTCCCCAGCACAGCCAGATCCCCACTAGTGACAGAGTCCATCATGTCCCAGTTCTTCCCAGTGCTGCTCCCTTATGTCCTCCAGTACACCCAGCCCAAGCCCAATGTGATGCCCATTCTCCCCAGTATCTACAGCCCAGTGTGACTCCCATTCCCCCAGTATGGTCCAGCCCAGCTCCAATATAACCTCCATTCCTCCCATATCCCATCCATATCCCATCAGAGTCCCAGTATGATCCCATCCCTCCAGCATACTCCACCACAGTCACTGTACAACTCCCATTTTCCCAGTATAGCCCAGTCCAGTACCAGTATGGCCCCCTTTTCCCCAGTACACCCCATTGTGGCCCCAGCATCACCCCCACTCCCCCAGCCTGGCCCAGTCCCCCTATCCCCAGGGCAGCACAGCAGCTCAGCCGGGGCAGGGCAGTGCACGGGGGTCCTGCTGGTCCCTGCGGGGCACTGGGTGGCCCTGGTGGCCCCAGTGGCCACACCCACCGCCCACGCCGGTGCCGCAGGTTTCAACCCGCGCTGGGAGGAGACGCTGCGGTTCCAGGTGCGGGTGCCCGAGCTGGCCCTGGTGCGCTTTGTGGTGGAGGACTACGACAGCACCTCCTGCAACGACTTCGTGGGGCAGTTCACGCTGCCTCTGCCCAGCATGCGCCAAGGTGGGTGCAGGTGCCACCCCAGTGCCCTCCGGGGATGGGGACAGGCCCCTGCCACCCGCTGAGCCCCCGTCTGTCCCCAGGGTACCGCCACATCCACCTGCTCTCCAAGGACGGGGCGTCCCTGTCCCCTGCCACGCTCTTCGTGCATGTTCGTTGCAAGAGCCTGTGAGATGTCCTCGGGAGGGACATCCTTGTGTCCTCGAGGTACCCATGGGAGGGACATCGTGTCTGTGTGTGGGACAACAGGCTCCTTCGTGGGTGGACACCCTGTGTGGGGACAGTCTGAGGACACCACTCACCTGTCTGTCGTGACAGCAGGGCTGGGAGGACCCAAAGGGGTCCCTGTTCCCCAGTGCCACCCAACCTGCTCCTCCCCTCCTTGAGGGGACACAGATGCTGTGACAAACCCCAACAACAACCCAGCACAGCCCCACAGGGGTGAGAGCAAACAGCAAATCTTACCAGTCCTGGCCATCCTTGATCCCAGCCCCTCTCTTGGGGTGCAAGGATGGTACCATCACCCTGGAGTCCCTGAGGGGACCCTGTCACCACTCACTCCATTGTGCCCAGGTGGGGACACATTCCCAACCTCTGCTCCGGCACCAGCGACAGATTTACACCCCGGGATCAAGCCAGTCGAATAAAGATTTTATTTTAACAGAACCTGTCCTAGTGTCCCTGTCACCCCCCGGGCCCATTGTAGGTGGATCAGGGCTGAGCCCACCCCCAAATCAGTGGTGCCCTGGGGAGCTGCCAAGCACCCACGGGTACTGCACCCATGGAAGTTGGGGGGATTCATTGGAGCAACCTCAAACCTGCCAGGGGGCCAGGGGGAGGGTCCCATGGGGTGTCCCCCACCCGCACCCAGTCTCCCTTAGCCCAGGACAGCAGGGACACAGGAAGGGACACAGAGGTACTTGCATAGGTGACACAGGACCCCGAGCAGGGGGGAGGCGATGGCACTGCCACAGGGGGATGTGATGGGCTCCTGGTTCCCACTGAGGCCTCACAGGTCCAGGCTGGGATGGGCACTGACTGTCAGGGCCCGTGGTGCCATGGGGTGTGACAGGGACACACAGGGACAGGGAGGCATGAGAGTGCATAGACGGGGTCTTGGCCTTGGTGTGCAGCTTTGGAAACCTTTGGCTGGGTGGGCAGGAGCATCTCGGAGCTCTGGGTGGACAAGGTTCATGACGTGGCAGGAGGCTGTCCAGGCACTCCTCTCCCAAAAGATTTCGATGGGATGAAGGCTTTCCATGAAAACATTTCCTTTCTCTCGGCGGATCCCACAGCATGAGGTGACACTGGGAGCTGGTGCTGGAGGCACCGGGGGGCTGGGGAGGCTGGAGCCCCGGGGTGATGCCAATGGCAAGTGTCCATATTTCCATGCTTCCAGAGAAAAGCAGCTGAGCAGAGAGGCCAGAGGTGTGGCAGTGGCAGTGGAGCGAGGCTGAGGGGAAGGAGCCCCAGGAGTCTGAGCAGAGCGAGGTGTGCTGGACACGCTCCGGAGCTGAATCCCCCTGGATCTTCGGGCACTGCTGCCCCTCAGTCCAGCAGGAAGGGTTGGAGTCTCCGTGGCCGGGCAGGAGCTGGGACAAGGCATTGCTTGCACAAATAGCCCTTTGAAAGGAATCTCGCCGTGCTCCCGAGCCCGCGGGGAGGGGCCTTGCTTAATGGAGTCAGGAGCAAATCGGGACAAAGAGCCGAGCAGGGGAGGGCCTGATGCACCCTCGGGGCAGGCAGGAGGGTTTGGCCAGCAGCCACCACGTCGCCACAGCATCAACCTCAGCTGTCCCCACGGAGGAAAGTCCCAGTCCAGCAGCCCAGTGGTGACCTTCAGCAGCCGAATGCAACTCATGGCAGTTGGGAACAGGAAAGATTTAAAATATATATAATATATACTTTTATTATTCACCCGTTAAATCCATTATATGCCAATCATGATCTAGTTTCAGCAGTTACATTCCCTTGATCATGTCTTTATGAGATGCAGTTAAATCAAACAAGGAGACAGCTGATGGCAGCGGGGACGGTGGCTCCGGTCCCCCTCTCCCAGCGTGGGTCTGGCTTTGGCAGAAAGGATGAGGGCAGCACCTCCACAGGCCCAGCTCCTCCACGCTCTCCTGGCAAGGGCTCCCTTACTGCAGCACCAATCCAACCTGGGAACAATGGAAATAGGGGTCAGGATGTGTCCTCTGCTCCGTTCCCAGCGCTGCGTGGACACAGCTGGGAGGGCTCAGTGGTGTCTCTGTGGGTTTCCCCACTGGTTTTGGGATATTTGAGAGCAGCAAAGCCCTGGGCTTGTGGCTGAATGGGCACATGGGCCCTGCCCAGCTCTAATCTGGGGAGGTGACCAATGTTTGGGGTGTGACAAGCTCTGTCAGGTTATGAGACAGCCTTGATTCATGAGCCAAGGATGTTTCTGAGCTGATGATGAGGGGTGGAACACCTCTCCTATGAGTTGGGGTTGTTTAGCTTGGAGAAGGCTGCAGGGAGGCCTTAGAGTCCCTTCCAGTGCCAAAACGGGCTCCAAGAGGGACTCTGGACAAGGGCCTGGAGTGACAGGACAAGGGGACATGGCTTCCCACTGCCTGGAAGTGTCTAAGGCCAGGTTGCACTCCAGGATAGTGGAAGGTGTCCCTGCCTGTGACAGGGGTGGAAAAAGGTACTCTTTTAAAGTCCTTTCCAACCCAAAGCATTCCATGATTCTGTGACTTGGGAGAAGCTGCTCCCAAGAGTCTGGTCCCTGGACATGTCCCTCTGCAGGCAGCTGGCACTGCTGGGGCCTCTCCAGGACATGCTGGTGGCCAGTCATGGCTCTGACCCAGTGGACCCAGAGGCAGCCCTATCACAGGAAACATTCCCAGCATCAGGATCTCCCACCCCCCAGCTCTTACAGCAAAATAAGTGATTGCTGACCCTTCCTGGGGCTTCCCAGGAGGCTCAGCAGGCAAGTGAGGCTGGTTTAGGGCACAGGGTTTGTGCCCAGAGACAGACTTGGCTTCACACCAGGGAACCAAAGCCCTGTGACTGCCATCAAGGCATTAATTAGCTGTGATGTAGCTGGGCAGATTCTGGTTCTCAAGCACCATCCTCTGCAAGGTGGCTGTGGACTGGACAGGTGCTGGATCACATCTCTGGTGTGGAGGGACAGTAGCAACCAGGTGCCTCAGAATGGCCCAGGGCAGGCAGATGGGGCTGCAGCACAGCTCTGGGAGCAGCTCAGTGGGGAACAGGCTGCTGGCTCTGGGCACAAATGACATCCTGGGAACCTGTGGCTCAGCCCCCTGTATGAGGTGGCAGAGCTCCTTTGTCACAGGTCCTGCTCCAGCCTGTCTGTTCTCTCCAGCTGTTCCTCCCACCTCAGCAGGACACACTGACACCCAGGGCTGTGCAGTGACCTCTGGGTCCTGTGCAGGATCACAGGCGACTGTCACAACCCCTGGTGTCACATCTGTCACCCTGCAGCCCTCTGCTGTCTCCTGTGTGCTTGGCCACCTTCCTCAGAGGGAAGAGGTGGGTGAGAGGGGAAGGACTGAACCTGCACTAGTCCAGGAATGAAATTTGCTTTTGAAGATGAGTGTGGAGGGATTTTCCCCAGGGACACTCTCTGTGCAAGCACAGGAGATGGCACAGGGATTCACCCAACACCCTGCGTGACACTGCAAGGACACTAGCTGGGCTGGATTGCTGAGGTGTGGCTGACAGCAAACCCATGTCCCCAGGGCTTTGGGATGAGTCCCCTCCTCACAGCACTGACCTTCTCCGGTGCCATGCTGGGACACTTCCAATTGTACAGGTAATACTGCAGGTTCCCATCCCCGATCCCAAACTTCAGCTTCTCCAGGAAGGTTTTGTTTTCCATGAGATCCAGTGCATTGAAGACGTCAAATCCTTTCTGCACAGGGAGACATGAAGCCATCAGTTCCTGCTTTTGTGTTGGGGAGTTCCTCCCACGTGTGAGCAGCCTGGTCCCCTTTCCTGCCTGGCTTTGAATCCCAGAAAAATGGAAGAGCTCAGCCTTGGTATCCTCACCCTCAATCCAACTGCTACAGGACTGTTTGCTGTAGGACACGAGTAACACCCTGAGCTCAGCTCACAAGCTGGGAGGTTCAAGGCACCCCTGCATCCCTGTCCTGGGTGGTAGATCCTTTCAGATTTGGATTTCTATAGTCCTGAGAACAAGCCCTTCCCACAAACCCAAGGGTGGCCAGCCTGCAACGAGCTGCCCAGTGAGTTTCCTGGTGAGCTCCTGTGAGCTGCCCAGGTCAGGATGGGTGCCAGCCCATCCCTGGCTCCCTCACCGACTTGGCGAGGATGAGTGCGTCACTCATGAGGTCGATGAGAGGCGTCTTGGTGTGAACGTTGTAGAAGGAATAAGCAGCTTTCAGGCTCTTGTGAGTCGGGTGGTTCATGATGGTGGAGGGCAGTGTGTAAAAGCTCAGGAAGTCTGTCACCTCTCCTGGGGCACTCTGGAAGGCAGAAGTGACATCACAACAAGTCAGGCTGGGATAAAGCCTGAGCAGAGCCTTAGAGGGGCTCTCCCAGTTGGAGTGATGGCTGCAGAGAGACTCCAGGGCACCATCCTCCAACAAATTCCCATCCCAGAGGGGCATGGAGCTCCTCACTGATCATTCCCACAGCTCCAGTAGAGGCAAAAGCCCAGGAAAACACCCCTCCCATCCTGCTCCTGCCCCTCACCTCTACCACGAAGGTGTCGATGATGTTCTCCTGAGGTACGAACCAGTGCTCCACCTCCTCTTGGCTCATCACGGGTGTCAGGTGGAACTGCTTCAGGTACTCAGTCAAGAGCTTGTGCACAGCAGGGATGTCCTTGTGCTCCATGGGCCGCAAGCCAGGAGTCTTGGGAGTCTGCAGAAAGTGGGACAAGTTATTTTGTTGCTTGCACAGTGGTTTTCATCACCCAAGGGCTCTCCAGTGAGCAGCACAGAGACATTCTCTGCTTAGATCAGCCCATTTTAAATCCCCCAGCCCTGCATGCCCAGCAAAGATGGACGTGATTGGCCATGACACCGTTGGCAAAGATCACAGAGAGCACAGCATGTCCCAAATCCCCAAGTGTCAGGTCAGGCCAGGTCCCACTGGAAGTAGTTTCCTACTCACTAACAACTCAAACTCTGCTTCCCTCCAGGTTCCTGTTCCCACTCACAGCAGGCACAGGCTGGGAGGCAAGTCCCAGGCTCCACAAGATGTTATTCCCAGTTGGCCTCAATTACTA